AAAAGATGCACTTATGTCTTAATTGTTTAAGATCAAACACACACCAAGTGAAAACATGCAACTCAAGTACTTGTCGAAAATGCAGCAAGAAACATAACACGTTACTTCATATAAACATTCCAAATAATCCCGATCAATCTGGATCAAATACGTAATCAGTTAAGTTACAAATTCTCCACTCCCCGTCGCCACACAATGTACGTCAAGTCATCGCTCTTTAAATTTTGCTATCAACCGCCGTCATCAATGTATATATTCCAATAATCAAATTTATTCATGTCGAACACTACTTGACAGCGGATCACAAATGAATTTTGTAACAAAAGAATTAGTCAATCGATTGAAACTTGAGGAGCAATCTCTTGATATTGCAGTGGCGGGAGTCATGGATGGAGTCACGCTAATAAAGTAATTAGTCTTTGTGTCAAATCGCATTTTAACAATTTCTTCGAAAAAATGGATTGCATCATGATTCCAAAAATAACACAGCATTTATCGCAACATTTCATACCCATGCAAAATGTGTCTATTTCAAAGCATATCAAACTAGCTGATCCCGAATTTTAACGTACTAGCTAGCATTGAAATTTTAATAGCCGAATCCTTCTGGAGGTTCATTTGCGCGGGTCAGATTAAACAATCAAAGGCTCAATCGACATTGGAAAAGACACATTTTGGATGGATAATTTCCGGTGTCACACCATGTGACATAACCAGACCTGCTTCTTCTCTTAATTTTTATTTGACCTCACTCGATGAATTAAGATTCACGTTAAATTAAACTTTGGGAGATTGAGCATAGCAATATTGTTAACCCATTTTCCCCCGAAGAGAAGGTCTGTGAAGAATTATTTCTACAAAGAGTAAGTCGCAATTTGGAAGGACGTTTTATTGTCAAGCTGCCAATTAAGCACGACAAACTGAACAATGTAAAAGAATCCAAGGACATCGCTCTAAGACGTTTCAAATCTTTGGAGAAGCGGCTCATTACTCAACCCTGTATATACAACGAGTACAAGAAATTCATGGATGAATACATACAGTTGAACTACATGAAGGAGGTGAACAGTCATACTAGACTGAGCCCAAGCTCTCCAGTCTTTTATCCATGCAGTACGAAATGGAGCAAGTTTCTCTACAAAGTTCCGGGTGGTCTTTGACGGCTCATGCAAAACCATGACCGGGCAATCTCTAAACGATTCGCTAATGGTGGGATCCACACTACAAGATCTTTTTTCCATTTTGGTCAGATTCCGAATATTCAAAATAGCTTTCACTGCCGATGTAGCAAAAATGTATCGACAGGTTTTGGTCGATTCAATTCAAACATCATTGCAACGTATCTTCTGACGAGAATCCCAAGACGAGCCCATCAAAACCTTCGAATTACTCACGGTGACTTATGACACTTCTTCAACATCATTTCTGGCTATCAGAATCCTAAGAAAATTAGCGGAAGATAACGCAGATTGCTCTTCAAGAGCATCACAAATAGCATTGCGAGATTTCTATGTGGACGATCTCGTCACTGGCCGAGTTGGAATAGAAGAAGCTTTATCTATCATGAAAGAAATCACGGAGTTGTTGCAAAAAGGAAAATTCAAGCTTAGGAAATGGTTATCTAATGCTCTCAGCCTGCAAGACCAAAACTCCTTCGTCGAGCAAAGAGAATTTACCCTATCCTCGGATAAGAATTCCGAAAAAAGAACGCTAGGCATTGTATGGGATTGTCGAGACAACACATTCAAATATTCATCCATCAACCATTTGCCTCCTCTGGAGACGCCGACCAAAGAAGTATTTTATCACGCATCTCTCTCATTTTCGATCTACTGGAACTGTTGGGTCCAGTTACATTACTTGCCAAGATTATCATGTAGAATCTCTGGCGATTCAAGCTCGATTGGGATGAATCTATTCCCTTAGAATTGAATACCAAATGGAAGCGTTTTGAAACTGAATTACAAGAACTGAATAACATACGCATTCCTCGCCTTGTCATAACAAACATACCTGTTTGGAACTACAGTTTGGGTTCTCAGACGCTAGCAAAATTGCATACGGAGCATGCATCTATTTACGCTCCACTTTAGGCAATGGTGCTCATTGCACACATTTACTTTGCTCCAAATCCAGAGTGGTCCCATTAAAGTGTTTGTCACTTCCGCGCCTCGAGGTGCATCTATGTGGTGCATTGTTACTAGCTCAACTCATCAGTAAAATTTCGAAATGTCTCATGCATCCAATATCCTCCATTTATTTATGGATGGACTCTACAATTGTACTATCGTGGTTACAATCGTGCAGTCGATCAACCTTTGTAGCACACCGCATCGGGGAAAGAAGAATTAACATCTATTCATCAGTGGAATCACATACGCAGTGAAGACAATCCCACAGACCCATTGTCACGAGCTATCATGTCGAGTTCTTTGATCCAATTAGATATCTGATGGTCAGGGTCTTCCTGGCTGGGGCTTGACAAAGAGTGCTCAAAAAACTCTTCCTATCGATATAATCAACATCCCTGAAAGAAAATCTAAGGCCATTACCGCAGCAGCAACTAATACGCAAGAATCTGACATATTTTTTTCGATATTCAAAAGCTTTACTAAACTCATTTGCGTCTTTGCGTACATGATTCGTTTTATAGAAAGATCCAAAGGTGCTACACACGCATCCAACTAAAACCTCTCAAGAGATTTCATCTTGACATAGTAATATCATGCCACATATATCTTTGAACGAACAACAACAAGCAACCTTTCGTCTAATCAAGGCAACAATCGAAGCATTTTTCAAAAGAAATAAAGTCACTGAGCAACTACGAAGCTGTTCCCACAATTAATCCTATCTTAAAATTGAATCCATTTCTTGACGACTCCGGCATCCTACCGGTATGGGGGGGGGGGAGGAGTCGTTTGAGGGAATCCTCATTGCCTTATTCATCTAAATATCCCATGCTGTTACCTGGGAATCATCCATTTTCTTGCCTAATTGTGGTTATGAGCATGAGAAATACTTTCATGCCAGACCGCAGGCCACTCTGGCCGCAGTGCGTGAGCGCTACTGGCTCATCTTAGCACGTAACATCATTCGAAAAAATGCATCATCTGTCTTAAAGATTCACCAAAACTTGCTTCCGTCATTATGGGCAATTTGCCGGAATCGCGAGTCAAAACCTCCTCAAGAATATTTGATCAATGTGGAGTGGATTATGCCGACCCTCTCTATTATAAGGAAGGTGCTAGAAGAACCATTAAGCTAATGAAATGCTACATTGCAATTTTTGTCTGTTTGGCCACTAAGGCAGTCCATATTGAGTTGGCATCCAATTTGTCGACAGTTTTCTAAACGTCTTCAAGCGTTTCATAGCAAGAAGAGGTTGCCCTTCAGACATCTTTTCTGACAACGGATTAAATTTCGTAGGAGCCGAACGCGAACTAAACGAATTAAAAGACTTACTTCATAATGAGTTAACTCAACAACAAATCCAAGATCAGACCACAACCCTAGGAGTTCACTGGCATTTTATACCGCCTCGTTCCTCCACCATAGAGGTCTATGGGAAGCAGCCGTGAAGGCAATCAAGCGACATTTGGATCGCATAATAAGGAATGCTAACCTGAAATATGAAGAGTTGGAGACATTATCATCCAGATCGAAGCAATACTGAACTCTCGTCCGCTCACTATTTCATCGGACCCCAATGATTTCGTTTCACTTACTCCGGGACACTTTTTAGTAGGTACACCTCTCACATCTTATCCCGAGCCAAGTCTAGGCGAGATACCCGTGAACCATCTTTCACGATGGCAATATATACAACAATTGCGTCAACATTTCTGGAAGCGGTAGACACATGAGTATCTTCAGCAATGCCAGGAAAGAAATAAATGGAAAATAAACGAATCATCTATACATATCGATCAAATGGTTATCATTAAAGAAGTCAACACCCCCGCATTATCATGGTCTTTGGGAAGAATTTTAGAAATACATCCAAGCAAGGATAACGTAGCTTGAGTTGCCACTGTGCGTACCGCTAACGGCAGTTACAAACGGCCAATTACACGTCTCTGCCTACTTCCAATTGAGAACTAAGGTCTGGTTATGTCATTTAATATTTAACGTTTTCTATACTATTTATGTTAATTGAATATATCTTTTTTGTTAAGTGTATTTATAGTACTGAAGCATAATATTATTTTTTTTGTCAATTGCAATCACTTACATATTGAAAAGCGATCCTTTCAAGGGTGGTATGTTCGCGCTTCGCGCCTGTTGGAATGGTGGGAACGCTCAGTCAGTTGTGTATCCGCGTATTTAGTTCTAGGACGCCTTTGTGGCGCTGCTTACAATGGTGTGGCGCTATTAAGGTCCACTGGGATCGCAGTAGTGTATGGCCGCGTGGCCGGCAGTCATTTGTTCGAAATGTACCGTGTGCGAAGTAAGTCATTTTGTTGTAACATAAGTACCACCACAAAGAAGCAATAAAGTTTATACAAGGGATACAAGTTCCATTCATTTGCGCTGCCGAAACCATAGTAAAAGAGGCCACAAGGTAAACGACACAAGCTATCGGGAAAGAGAAAATCGCGTTTCATTTAACGCAACGGAGGACACAAATCCCTCCTTCCCAACACCAATAATTTATGAAGTATTTTATACTTTATTCTGGCACGTCTGAATACTTTTATAAGTAGAATAATTAGAGGAACCTATTGTGTAAAAAATCATATAATTCCATTTAAAAAAGTGATCTTCATATCTTTTTGATGCCTCAATCTAGAAGAAAAATAACATAACCGAAATACCTTCCTATTGAAACCGTTCCACTTTCATTTGAAATACTTTTTCCTATTATAAAAACCAAGCGAGATATTTTAGATGGGACACCCTGTAGACTCAAATTTACTATGGAGATAGGTGGAGACACATTAAATTTTTTAGAATTAATTTTGATTAAAGTGATTTTATTTTTGATTCCATAAACCTACCTTTTTAAGCAGGCTTCTTAATTTTCATTCATGATATCCGTTTTCCCACAGGAACACAAAAGGAACTGTTATTGGATTAACTTAATACAGTTTTATGTTTATCGCATCTGGAATTTCAGGAAAAAATTTTAATTACATCATTAATATTTTATTACAATAGATAACAGATACCCGTTGTATTTTATTTTTTAATAGTAAAAAACGTCTTTTCTTTTTAAATTTATAAAATAAAAAAGAATTCTTAATAAAAAAGAAAAACTTTTTTATAAGCCTGAAAAACATAAGAAAAATTATTCTACGCTTCCGTACATAGCTGTCATAGCTGAGAAATTTATCGAACATTTTAAAGATATTCTTAATTTCATCTTAGCATTTTCAGAGTTAATAGACCAAATCAATTTATTGAAGTTTATAAAGATTCTTTACTAGTTTATCTTGTTCGAATGTAATTTATAAGATTAATTGCCTAAATTGCAAAGCTACACATGTGGGCCAGACAAGTAGATTACTCAGGAGGAATTGACGAGCCTAAAAATAATATAAAAAAATGTGCACGGAGATTTGTTATTACAGAACACAGACTTAAATTCATGATTTTGATTGAGCCAATGTGGAGATATTGGATGAGATTTTTCTTAACAAGAGATTAATCTCTGAAACGATAGGTGCATATAGAAAGACAGTAGAAAGTTTTAAATTCACAAAGATATAGATTTAATGAATTCCATCTATTTTTATTTGATTACTTGTATGTTATGCGTTCTCTAATTGTTTATCTACTGACACTTCCCTTTCCATTGTAAAAGAGAAGAATATCATATTTCCTGCCGGTTGTTTTATTGTCATATTCGAGGTAATATTTTTCGCAATAAAAATTAATTAATTAGATTTCGCTCGTTTTTTGCAAAATGTAAAGAAACGATAGTCTAAATCGAGCGGTAATAAAGTTCTTTAATATAAAGTAGTTTAGTCGAATATAATGTTAGTATGATAATATAAGAATATAAAACAAAATATAATAAATCGAATGTTTCGGAACTCACGTATCCTTCTTCAGCGATACTTGAAGGATGTTACATGGTTATAGAGATGAATGATCTTATGTCAACGAGACATAGTGAGTGAGTTCCGAAACGTTCGATTTATTATATTTTATTTTATATTCTTATATTGTCATACTAACATTATACTCGACTAAATCACTTTATATTAAAGAACTTTCTTATCGCTCGATTTAAAAATTAATTATTTACAGATTTTAATATATCATTCAGCATTATTGAGATCATAATGATTAAAGCGGACTCTTAATATTTAAAATAATAATAATAAATAAATTTTAAGGCTAATGAGAGTCAGCGCGGAAGAGATTGCACACAGTTATCGACATGTAAAATTACTTCTTCATAACATTGATGTCTTCTTTATTTCAAAATCTTGAATGTTTCGACTCGCTTTGTAATCATTCTCACCAATATGACAATTGAATTCCATTGAATTTGATCTAAAACGTTAAGCGGTCCGTCCAGAATGAGTCACTCTCAGATTCTAGAGTGTCCCGATTGCGTACATTATCAGTCGGACATGACAGTATTTCCCACGGATCCGACAAGACACAGATTCGATTGCACACGGACCCGATCGGACTCGGACTCGATTGGACACACAGCGTTATACTAGGACACGGATTCGATTGCACACGAATCTAATTGCACACAGATTTGATTGCGCACCGACCCGATTGCGCACGATCTAATTGCACACGAATCCGATTACGCACCGACCCAATTACGCACCGACTCGATTGCGCACAAACTTTTCTCACACCTCACTGTTTTTATGGGTTAGAAATATTCCAAGCATACTGTCTACGCTGCAACTTCTAGGCGGTTAGGCCTTAAGCAAGTGAAGAATATGTTATCTTTTTTTTGTTCGGAGCGGCGTAGCCGCCCCGAATCAATAAGTACTAATTTACACACCCCAATGTCTACATGACAGATTTTCTAATCTCACCAAAAGTACAATTATAGAAATTAAGCGCCTCTTTGCAGGAGGGGAGGAGGGGGGGGGGGAGAGAAGATGAGAGTCGCTCTGCGTGGATATATAAACTTTTTATTTATTTTTTATTTATATTTTTTCATCATCTACTAATATTTTCCCTGTTTTTCTAACCGTTATTGCGTCTGATTGAGTCTATGTGCAATCGGATCGTGCGCAATCGGATCAGTGCGCAATTGGATCATGCGCAATCGAATCCGTGCGGAATCGGATCTGTGCACAATCCGGTTTGTGTGCAATTGAATCCGTGTCCGATCGGGCCCATGTCCAATTGGGAAATACTGCCGTGTTCGATCGATAATGTGCGCAATTAAGCGAGTGTCTCATTCTGGACGGACCACTTAACGTTTTAACCAAATTAAACGGAATTCAATTGTTATATTGCTGAGACTGATTATAAAGAGAGTCGAAACGTTCAAGATTTTGAAATAAAAACAATATTAATGTTATGAAGAAATAATTTTATTTGTCGATAACTGTGCGCAATCCCTTCCGCGCTGATTCTCATTAGCCTTGAAATTTATTTATTATTATTAATGTTATTAAGGTCATTCTAAGAACACGCGTAAGAACATCGAATTGTTAAATTACTAGTCAATTTAACTCGTGATATTACTGCGGTAGTTCAGTGGAGTTTGCGTTTCAATACTGAAAAATTCTTTCGACGCGCATTTAAGGGCTCCTACAGACGAACGACTTCATAGCCTCACAATTGAAAGTGCCGACCCGTTCAGAGCTATTCTGTGGCTCTACAGAATTTCGCGAAACTTTTCTGTAGCCAAAGTCACTCATCTTAAGCCCGTATCAGATTACCGACTCTGCAAGCCAACCTGACTATTCACTCTGACTGCCAATCAATAATGGACCAATCACATTGAATCAGTCTTATTGTGATTGGTCCATTATTGGTCGGCAATTAGAGTTGACAGTTGGGTCGGCTTGCAGAGTCGGTAATCTGATACAGGCTTTAGAATCCTTATATTAGAGTATGGCCTGAGGTGTAGTGAAGAATTAAATGGCGTCTACTACGTGGCTCGTTGTCATGTCACGTCATAAACGTATGATTGGAAGTATTACGGTTAGTATTGTAACACTTTTATCTTATTAATTATAAGATACATTCTTGCGTAAGTGCAACTATTATAGCGAGTCTTTAATTGGCAATATATAACTGTAAGAACAATTTCAGTATAATTTCAGTTAAAAGTAATACAATAATATGCAATTTATGTTTAGATTCTGGATGTAAAAATTATACACGTATAAGATATTCAAGGTTCAATTAAAACGTTTAAAAAAAAACCTTATTGTTTGTTAACGAACTTTTAAATATATTTTGGAAATAATTATTCGCAAATATCTTCCATATTAGAATTAGTAAATGTAACTTTCACAATTAATGGTTTGCATTTCTTTTTTGAAAAAATGCAAACCATTAATTGTAAAACAATAAAAAGCTGTCATCAACTATTTACAGAAGTAAAGAAGCGTTTTGTAGGATATCGTATAAAAATCGCATGTCTAAAAAGATCGTTTAAAAAATACAATACACAATGGTAAAACAATGGCAATGTATTCTGTGACGAAATAATTTTTCTGTTATACCGATGTATTTTTAAACTTTTCATCTTAATGTATTGTTTTATCTTATATGTTTTTATATTAATAGAAAATTAATGCTATAGAAAAATCTACACTTAAACACTTGTTTCGTTATTGTATCTTTCTTGTTTGAATTAGCCTGAATTTTGTAATAATTCTCATTGATTCCATCATGTTTTTCTTGAGTTTGATTCAGCCAATAAGCGCGAACATGATGAGTGACCAGACTCTGATATGAGACTCTAACTCGTCTGTAGAAGCCTCCTAAGCTTTTAAAGAACTACATACACATATATGTACAATATATAAATTCACACAAAATTATACTTAAGATCCAACTAGACCGTTAAAGGCACTTATTTTCTATTAGTTGTGTTCTCACATGATCCAATAGATTTAATAATGTTATATTCGTTACGTCAACATTGAAAGTGTTATCTCTCTTCATTACAGTGTATATATTATATTATATTTTTAATAGTAATATATAATATTATAATTTTAATTTAATTTCTTAAGAATAAATACGACCGTGTAATTTCTTAAATTCAATTAAAAGTGTGTTATTGATATTTTAGTATAATTTTACAACAATAATCGTTTAAAGCTTATAACAAAGTTGAATCTTGGATACTTAAATACAATAATTTCCATATAAATATATACCACATATGTAGTCATTTGAAATGCGTGCTAAACATTTTTTCGGACTTATGGTGAATTCGATCACTCGCATTACGTTGGATTAGTGCATATTAAAAGCTGCTTTAAAATATTTTAATGCAGTAATACGATATAATTAACTTTGATAATGAAATTGTACATGTATATTTTGCTAAATAACGTGACGATATCATTAATAGATAGTTAATCGTTTAAAATATTTATATATTGATTTTTACATTTAACTTTGCAGCTTTTAGTATGCACTGATCTAGTGTACTGTAAAGTAACTGAATTTGTTATTAAAAACGCAACTGAACTACTGTAGTATAATATTACAAATTAAATTGACAAGCAATTTAATTCGATGCTCAATCAGGCATCCTATTAGAGAGATGCTAATGTACTAAAAATCTGTAAATAAACTTATTGCGAAAAATATTATTTTGGCCGGGAGTCGAACCCGGATCACTAATTCCATACGAGCGTCCTAATCCATTAGACTACTGAAGCCGTAGTAATATTCTTCGTAATAATCGATATGTAGAAAAATGAAGTAATTTTTCAAATAGCATGTATAAACAGTAATAATAAAAAAAGCTTAGGACGCTCGGAATGAGATCCGAGATTGACTTCGAGATAATATTTTTCGCAATGACTAACGTACCGATCGGAGGAGACCGCTCCGATGACTTTAATCTTGACATATGTTATCTAGGTCATGACCCTGAGAGACCCTTCCAAGAAGTTTTATTTTTTAGTAGAGCTCAGAATATCCGTCCGT